GGAAAATTTAACCATATAGCAACAACTTAATGAAAAAAAATGGCAAGCCCTAGTTTTAAAAGCAAAACCTCTGTTTAGTTTCTAAATTACTATCATTTCTAATTTGTGGATAATAATTTATTCTATTTGCTTACATTTTTGGAAAGTAAATGAAAATTCATATTACAAAAAATACCAGATGACAACACTATTTCTCTTTTTGATTTAATTTTCTTTACATGTCCAAATAGTATTACTATCAGAGGTAAAAATGAGGAGGTAGATGTGATAAATCAGGATAGATAGGCTTAGATAGGCTTTGTGGATACAGCCAAATATTTTATTAAAAGTCTAAAAGGCAAACTGGGCGGTGGTGGCACACACCTTTAATCCTAACAATCAGGAGACAGAGACAGGTGGATCTCTGTGAATTTGATATTAACCTGATCTATAGAATGAGTACCAGAACAGCTCGGGCTGTTACATAGGGAAACCCTGTCTCTTAAAAACGAAAAAGGAAGTATAAAAGGCAAGTGGGACACAAGTAGGAATCACTGTAATAGTATCCATTTCCTTTTGACTGATAAAATATGAATATTCTTTAATTATTTTTTCTTAATATCATCTAATTATACTACAAGACATATATACTCATTCCAAAAGTGTCATAAATCATAAATGTTCTTCTCATTGGAAACTAATTTTTTAAGTCAGTCAAGTTTTATTAAAGCAAAGATACTAAATGCCTGGAATTCACCATTAAAATTATTTTGCCACTGCCGGATGAAGGTTCTATGGTGATATGCAAGATATTCATCAGTGTGGCTATGGGATAAGGCCAGTTCAGGCACCCTCTCCTCCGCTGCCCAAGGACCTAGCTGGGAACATCTTCTTGGACACCTGGCAACCCCTCTAGAGCCAAGTTTCTTGCCATCCCTAAAATGGCTCCCTTAATGTAGATATCTTCTTCCCTGCTCCTATATCTACCCTTTGTCCATCTCAACCATCCCATTCCCCCAAACTCTCCCCATCCTCCCCTTCTCCCTATCTCCCCTTCCCTCACCCCACCCCCACCCCCGTGCTCCCAACTTTTGTCCAGAGATCTTGTGGACTTCCAATATCCAGGAGGATAAATACATGTTTTTCTTTGGGTTCACCTTCTTATTTAGCTTCTCTAGGATCATGAACTATAGACACAATGTCCTTTGTTTATGGCTAGAATGAATCCTCTAATGAGTGAGTACATACCATACTCATCTTTTTTTGGGTCTGGGTTATCTCACTCAGTAAAGTGTTTTCTATTTACATCCATTTCCATGCAAAATTCAAGATGTCATTGTTTTTACTGCTGAGTAGAACTCTAATGTGTATATGTGCCACACCTTCTTTATCCATTCTTCTATTGAGGGTGTGGCACCTAGGATGTTTCCAGGTTCTGGCTATTACAAATAGTGCTGTTATGAACATAGACTCTTCATCCGGCGATGGATGGAGATAGAGACAGAGACCCACACTGGAGCACTGGACTGAGCTCCCAAGGTCCAGATGAAGAGAAGGAGGGAGAAGATGAATGAGCAAGGAAGTCAGGACCACGAGGGGTGCGTCCACCCACTGAGACTGTGGGGATGATCTATTGGGAGCTCACCAAGGCCAGCTGGACTGGAACTGAAAGAGCATGTGATCAGACCAGACTCTCTGAATGTGGCTATAATGAGGGCTGACTGAGAAGCCATTGATAATGACACTGGGTTTTGATTCTACGCATGTACTGACTGACTTTTTGGGAGCCTAGTCTGTTTGTATGCACACCTTCTAGACCTGGATGGAGGTGGGAGGGCCTTGGACTTCCCACAAGGTAGAGCACCCTGATTTCTGTTAGGACTGGAGACGGAGGGGGAGGGGAAGTGGGGTGAATAGGAGGGAAATGGGAGGAGAGGAGGAGGTGGAAATTTTTAATAAATAAATTAAAAAAAATCAAAATTTATTTTGCCACATTTTACTTCTTCTGGAGATTTTAAAAAATACAGGCTATAATTATTATATAATGGCTGTGGCTACTAATCTCTTCCCAAATGTGTTTAGTGGCATCACTGACGGTTGCCACAAGTCTTCCAGGATAAGAGGGACAGTTGGGGCAGACTGAGGGGCCACTAACCAGGGCACTGGGATTTGTCTCTACTGCATGTACTGGCTTTTTGGGATCCTGGTCTCTTTGGATGTATACCTTGCTCAACCTAGATGTAGTGGGGAGGGCCTTGGACTTTCCACAGGACAGGGTGCCTTGCCCTCTCTAAGGATTGGAGGGGGTGAGGTGGGAGGGTGTGTAGAGGGAGTGGGAGGAGGGGAGGGAGTGGGAATTTGGATTGGTATTTTTTAATGTAATAAAATAATAAAAAGGAAACTTTTTTTTTAATTTTTTGGGGGGAGAGATAAGAAGAGATATCCTAACCTTCATGTATTTGTCATTGGATTAAATCAAGTAACAGGTCATTTACAATATCTAGAAATCTATGGGTATCAAGACATTTTGGAGCTTTTAATTTGTTGTATGTCAACATTTTTGTTATGAATAGGAACATAACGATCTAATTGACTTGGTATAGTTACTGTTTCTTCATTTTCCTAGTAAGACTGTGTTTGGATTAAGCAAGGGTACTCCTTACATGAAGTTACTTTTGAAAGATAAGAAATAAATTATCAATTTAAAAGTTAAATTTCAATCCTAATTATAATGAATGATTACAAAATGTTTTTAGTCAGGTAGGGGAAAATGTGCATTTTTCATTTTTTTTATTTTTGGATTTTCTCCTGGAACTAGCTCTTGTAGTCCAGGCTGGCCTCGAACTCACAGAGATCCTCCTGCCTCTGCCTCCCGAGTGCTGGGATTAAAGGCATGCGCCACCACCGCCCGGCTACATTTTTCATTTTTATATACATTTTTATTAAGACATTTACATCACTTTCCATTTTCCCTTTTCTTCTTCTAGCCACTCCTTTGTCTCTTTCCTCCAATTCTTTCCATGTTCACCCTCACTTTCAAGTCAATAACCTTTTGATTTGATTATATTGTTACAGACATGTATTCATATGTGTAAGTATAAACAATTATATAAATACAAGCTGCCAAGTACATTTTGTTGATTGTATGTATATGTTATCAGAGCTGACCACTTGTACTGGATATCAAATTAGTTGACCGATTCCTTCCAGAAGTTAATTCTCCCTCTAAGCAGTCTTTAAGTCTTTATTTACACGTATAGGAGTGGGACCCAATTAAATTTACTCCCTTCAATATTAGTTAGCATATCTATTGATAATGTTATTGTTGTGGTCTTGTTTTTTACAATCATTTTTTTTTCTTTTTTCTTTTTTTTCTTTTTTTTTTTTTTTTTTTTTTTNTTTGAGATAGGGCCTCTCTGTGTAACAGTCCTAGCTGTCCTGGACATGGTCAGCCCAAGTTGCATAACTTCTTTTAAGCAATATGTGTCTGTGTGTGTGTGTGTGTGTGTGTGTGTGTGTCTACTTCCATATATTATAAATAGTTTCAGAAAAATATAAAATGATTACCTGAGGCTTTATCAAATATTTTTCATGCTATTTGTCCTTCTTCCCTCATTTCTCTTACTATATTGGCCTCTCTCTCCCCTTTCCCAGTAACAGGCTTTCTTCCCAATTTTCTGTTTTCCTCTTCATATCACCTGCATCCTGCTGTTCAGTTCTCAAGGTCACATCCACTGCCCCACATGCTTGCCTACTTTTCAACATTAAAACTTGATTCAAGTTAGATAGGGAGACTTGGTTAGACAGTCATGACAAACACATGATTAACAAAAGATCATAATATAATCCTCATTTATAGATTTATTAAAACAATAATTATAGAACCTAGAAATAATATAAGAAAAATTTCAGTATCTTGGGCTTTAAAATTAAAAAAAGCTTAAATATAATGACATTTTAGGTACTCAATATTTATATAGTTTAATAGAATTATTTTAAAAGCTTATGTAGATATTTTCTCTGATATTGTCATAGGTTATGTAAGAACTATGAATCTAAGAGTTAATGTCCTAAAGCATGTCAGCATAGGAGCTGGTTATATTTAATTGATAGAGCCCTTATCTTCAGGCTTGAAGAAAGTGTTGCTTGTCTTGTCTTTTTTTTTTTCAGTTGATGAAATTAGATAATATAGCTCATTTTCCAGGAGTTCATTTTGGACAGATTCTGTAACCAATTCTTAATCTATTTAAAGGTCCCTTATAATAGTGTATGTTTCCCTTTGGTAGTGGTGGCTCATATAATTTTTATTAGTTTTAAATGGGAGTGCAAGCTGTAGTGAATCGATAAGTAGATACAATATGTCTTAGTTGTATTTTTATTGTTATAAGACGCTATAGTCAAGGAAATTTAGAGAAGAAACAGTTTGTTGGGGTCTTATAGTTTAAAAGTGTGAGTCCACACCCATCATGGGGAAGAGAATGACAGTAGGCAGGCAACCATGATGCTGGAACAATATTGGGAACCATATATCCTGATCCAAAAGAGAGAGAGTGGGAGGGAGGGAGGGAGGAAGGGAGGAAACTAGGCATAATGTGAGGTGTTGAAATCCCAAAGCTCACCCCTAATGACACACCTCTTTCAAAAATCCACACCTCATAATTCTTCCAAAACAGTTCAATGAACTGAGAACCAAGCATTAAATTAAATGCACTTATGAGGTCCATTCCCATGAAATTATTATTCCAAAGCAATTCAACATTCATAACATATTTTTGCCATCTACTCATCTGCTTATAACCCATATCAGATTAGCTAAGATATTGAAACTAGTATTTATTTCAAAACTATAAATTTCGCTCCTTCTCCCAAAATTCTTTGAATAAATGAATGTTTTTCAGTCTATGAATATTGCAGTTTCTTTTTGATAGATACTTGTTTTAATAAAAATTATGGAATGTCCATATTAGAAGTAAGGTAAAATTTGATGTACTGTGTATCTTTTTCTTTGTATCTTTTACTAGTGCAAGGGTGTGACTAAAATATGTCGCTACATAATTTCTCTACCACCTGATCTTCCAAAACCAGAAGTACAAGTTCCAGAATCTGTTCCTCATGAAGACAGACCACCCAGGGTGCAAGTGGTAAGCAATTTTGAAAAATATTTGTCACTAATATGAAGTATTAATAAAATATTTACAAATGCTCTAAGATTGTCGCTAACCAATATTTTGGTCTAATATTTTCAGTATATATGATATGCAAAATATCGCTTTTTAACTATAGTCATATTAATTTTAAAGGAATGCTTTGTGTATGGTGAAATACCAATTTTATTAATTATTCAGGTATTATTGAATTTGGATGGACATCAGATTTCAAGTATTTAAAGTAAAGTGATATAATTATCTTAAAACTCTGGTTATGGTCCCCAGTATGCAATTGCACAGTGTGCAAATCTGTAAAATTAATGCTTTTCTTAAATTACTGATGAATTATAATGAATTGAATTAGTTTTACCAGTATTTGTGATGTGTGTGTGTGTGTGTAAACTGAGTTTCTCTCTTGTTCCTGTTTCTGCTACAATATAAAGAATTAATAATTTGTCTTAATTGCTAACTATATGTTTATGTATGATGTATTGCTTCTGTTTTCTTCATTTCCTTAATTTTGTTATTTAAAAATTTCACTGTTCAAATTATTAAATGTTTATTTTTAAAAATGCATACAATATTGAGTAAGATTTTTAAAAAATTACAATATTTGTAAATTCCCTTATAGCATACCATAGTATAGAATTATCTCCCTAATGATTATGAACAGTTTGAGTTTATCAATATGTGTTCAAAAATTGCTTTCTTAAAGGGCCATAACAGTATATACTTTGATTATCAGCAGCACTTATGTATATCAATACATGATGCCTAGACTACTTAAATAACTATAATTTTCTAGTAAAATATAGCCATAATCATAGTCATTTTTTACTCATCATAACTAGTGATAGTATATATTTCTCTTACGTTTATGCATTATTTTGTTTCCTTTAGACTGGATTGCATGTTAACGATCCTTATTCATTTAACCACTTAATTCTGTATGACAATTTATGGGCATTACAATATTATTCATATGTGACAACTTTATTTTATGTACTTTCACAGTACATTGAGACTTCTTCAAACAGAATGAGTGATTTACTGTGGAAACTTTTCAGTTATGATCTGAAAATAGTTTAAGAAATAGTTCTATTTCCCAATAGTTATTATCAAATAGTTCCATTTCCCAATGGTTATTATCTAAATTTTCATAGTGAAATTGCTGTTATATCGTTGTGAAAAATATGTTTTTATCTTGATAAATTAATGAAAAGAAGGTAGAGATTATTGATTTATATTAAGTTGAAATAGTGACTTAAAAATGAATAGATTGCTTAAATAGGAGTTGTCTTATTATTTAATTGAGTCAGTGATGGTAATATATTAGAAAATGAACATGTCATTATCTGCTGATGGTGATTTATAAAATTTGTATAATCAGTCCAACAATTTTAATCTAATTCTGTAAAATATATGAATCCAGAACATGTTAGGAAATAAAGTTTGTTATCTCAGAAACAAAGAATTTAAAACAATATGTTTAACAATCAGTGTATGACTCGGTCAATTTTAAATTCATACTTTACCAATACTTACCCAGATGTAAACTTGATCAAGTAATACTTTCTTTCTAACTCTTACTGTTCATATATAGAAAATATAGGAGTTGCTAATGGTAACAGAGGTCACTTACACATCTAAAAACTTACTTCTTTAATAGTGACCCTCTCAAACAAATTATTGTGTATATTTTGTTTACTGATTAATTCTCAGTATTGAAATGGATAGATTTTGGTGATTTTAATTAAAATGTTTGTTCTATAGATAAGGGTTTTTAAATTAGACTTTAGAAGAGGATGATAGGAATCTGGAGGATATTAAAATCAAATTATAATAACTATTGATAAAGGACATGTGTAATAAGGAAGGGTATAGGTTTTCAAGAGCCTGAGCATTACACAGTTTGCGGTCCCTCCTTTAATATATATTATTAATATTTTAATATATGTATGAATTATATACAAAAGCATTCATAATAAGATAAATCACAGAAAATCATGAATGTTTATAGTTCTCAAATATTACATGTAAAATACTCTCAAGGACTTGAAAGTGGCATGTTCAAGAAAGGGGCTATAAAACTTAACCTTCATTGGCTTCATGGTAATTTCATGTCTGAAATTAGGCATGTTTTTTACTCTTCCTACTTTTCTCTGGCTCCACTTCTTAGCAGTTCTTCTCTTTGCGTGGGCATGGGCACAAGTATCCTGAAAGAAGAAAGCAGTCCTGGAAGTAAAATGTAAATACTGCATAGATAAGGCTTGTATCTTTGGCAAGGACTATATTAAGCTATCATGGTTCCCTCTATTTCCCTACCTGAATTATTCTTGCTACATCTCATTAAGCATTCATGATTACATTATATTAATTACTTTACTGTGGTTTAAAAAGTTAGAATATTGTACCATGCCTTTTGTTTTAGGATTGTTTGTTTGTTTATGTGGTGTGGTCTCATGTAATCTAAGCTTGTCTTTGAAAATGTCGCATAACATAGGCTGGCTTTGAACATCTCATCTTCCTGTTTCCACTTTCCAAGTGCTAGGATTTTAGGTGTATATTACCATGTCTGGTTTGAATTCTTATAGGTTTATGGCTAAATAAACCTAATCACAAATAGAATGATTTCTATATTCCTATTAGAGTGAGTAATGTGTTTTCTACCTTGTCTGTGAACATTATTTTACATCTGAAAAAGTGTTCTGATGCCTTGGCATTATGTGTTCAAACATCTCATCAAAATCATCTTTCCTCTAAGATGCCTTGTTTCATATAGTTTTTTACACACTTAATGTATACATAACTATGACTATTTAGTTTAATGGGGGGCTATGAAGGGCAAAATTTTTGTGATATTCCAAAATTTTTATACAACTTGTGTTCTATGATATTTTTATTCATAGTTTTCTTGGGACTTTGGTGACCATTACAGTTCTTTAAGTTATCAGTGATCCTGCAGTCAAGTGTGAAATCTATTCCAAGAAAATATGCTGATTCTCAATATCAGTAATCCTAACATATTAGAGACAAAGTTTAACTGTACCTTTGAAATTTATTATGTAACGTCTAATTATAAATGTGGCTGTAAACCATCTTCCCTTGTGGAAAAATCTTGTTTACCATATAAAAGAGTTGCCAAGAAATGATTAGATAGCAGGAAAGTTTAGACTTACTACACAACAAACAAAACAAAATAAAGACATAATCAAATTAATGATTTAAATAAAAATCATATTCAGTAATTTTTTAATATTTAAAATTCCAAAGGCTACTCCCTGAGCTTCTCGGTTGTGAAGTCCAGTAGTGGGGTTATTTCTAAGTTACAAAATGTGTGGTTGAAGTACTGAATGACTTTAAGATATTTTTCATGTAAAAATGCGTCATCTAAAGAGTGTTTTGTGTCTCCAAAATGAGTCATTATACTACATTGTGGAAATCTAGAATCTAGCTTCAAAAAGATGCTTGCTCTTTTCGGATTTTAGATTCTGTTTCCATATTACAATGGCAAATAATGAACTCAGTTATAAACTTTTTAACTTAAATATGCTATTGCTGCTCAGAAGGAGAAGCCCAGAATTATTTAGCTGACATATTGTTTGTATTCAAGTAATAAGACTTAGGAAATGAAGTGGAAGCCCATGAACAGACAGTAGGCTTTCTGAATTCTAGATGGAAGTAACTCTTGGATAAATACATATGATATAGTCTTATTAGTAGCTAATCTGGATAGCATAACTTTCCTAAACTAATTTTATTAGAAATTGTTGTATGACTGCCCATATTTATTTTTTTTGCACTGAAAAAAATCTCCTTTATTTTTCTAACAAGCCAGATAAAGCATTTTTACCATTTTCTAATGTAACTTCCCATAAATATTGTAATGTATATAACTGGAGCTGCCCCTAAGTTTTTAGAGAACAAGTGACCATGGGATATTCTATCAGCTGATATGCTTCCAATACAACTTCTATATCTATAACTCAAGGATGATAGCAAAATGGGTGAGGGAAAAAAGTCCTGTTAAATGTCAGATTTGTCTTTTATATTATAAATTTAGAACCCACAGAATAACTTCCTAAACATTTTACTTCCCTTCCTATTCAGTCTCATTTTACCTTATTCTCTCATGACTTCATGTCAAGTAATCTATAACCTGTGATTTACCTTCCCACAGCCTCTCTACCATATAAATTTTAGTGCTATTAGAATTATCAGTAAATGCCAATTATATGAGTAAAATTTTAAAGAACATTCACAATCTTAAAAACAATCACTTACAGTTTTTTCCTTTCACTAAGAGATGAGCTCTCATTTCACATATTAGTCAATTTTAAAGGCTGCATGTGTGTAACAAGTTAATAGTTATTACTTCATAATTTAAATTTTCAATCATCATTTCCTTTCCATATCACAATCCCATTTTGTCCTCAAAATAACTGTGATAGGTAGGAATTATTACTCTACCTTTTAAAGTATTTTTTTAAAATTGAAGCCCAGATACACACTACGCCCATCTGTACCTTTGATTATGATTAATATCTATCAGATTCCATTGAATCATCCATATCATCTCTTTATCCATTTAATCACCTGTGGTCAGTGTCTTGTCTCAGAATCTAATCTAAAATTTAACCAGTCTCTAAAATGGCCCCTATCCAACTCTAGAAATTCATTCAGTATCAGCATGAGGCCTTCCTTCCTTCTTCAGCCAAAATATTTGGCCACTTATGAAGTTTTCAGAATGCTTCGAATAATGATGAACTTTATGCCGATTGACAAACTTTTGATTGAGATCAACCAGGAAAACTTGATGTATTAAAAATCTTCAGAGGCATTGGAGAGCTACCATTATTTGATTAAACGTGGGACCAATACCTTGAAAGAAAGAAAACCTAGACTGTAAATCAATGCAAGCCAGAAGACAGTGACGTCAGAAGTGATGGAAT